AGACGTGTGCTCTTCCGATCTTTTTACTACGAAATCTTATTGTAGTGCACAGTAAAATTTACCTAAATACTATATTGTCCCATAATTAACATGATTTGCAGGGTAAATTTAAAAAAAAATTCTCTCCGTGTACGGATAGCCGAATCAAAACAAACAATCCTGCAAGTAATTACTTTGCTCTTTAACTTTTGTTATTAAGTGTAAATTAATCGCGTACTTAAAAATTCGATAGACAATAGATGCACTTATTTCACACGTGCAGTATGCAGATTAATGCGTCGCGTCGGTTGGCGGTAAAAATTCTCTATGATAGACGATAACCCAACAACTGTGCTTAGATGATAAAAGAAAGAATATGCATTTAATTAGAATTAGCCGTCTGGAAAGATCGTATCTGAACGTCCGTAAAATAATTAATATTTTTTAAGAGTTCTCGTTTATGACCCATGATAAGCGTTGTGCTGTCTTGTTGTTATGACTGGATTGGATAGCATAAGCAATCTCTTTTCCTCTTCGATTTAGCATTCGATGACGGTATATTATGCAAAAATAAATTATTTATCAAACTAAAATAGATTGTGTGCATCTGTACGTGGCATGAAATTAATCGTTCTAAACGTAAATGAAAATTATTACTTACTTGAGTTTGTACGATATACTGTTCATTTAAATTTAATCAAGATAACGACACGAAAGTAAATTTGAATTATATATTTCAACGATAAATCGTATCTCTCGTTGGTAAATCTAATAATTAATTGTTTTGATAAGATCAGTAATAATAATTACTTGTTTTATAATAAATTATCAAAAATATTTAGAGAAATAATGATGATATTTACATTCTTGTATAATAATTTCCATCAATAGATTTTCTCGCTACTGTCGAAGTGAATATGTCGATTATATGTTAACTAATAATGTAAAATATGCATTATTTCGAAATGTTTAAAAATAGTTTTATTATTTAACAAATACATTATCCCCATTGCTATTGAAAAAATATGCTTATCGCATGTAATTGTATATTATTATAAATCTATCGCATATATATTATTGCGAAATATTAAAATTTAAAGAAATTTCTTGTTTGACTTCTGATGTTTATTTAGTTATTCAGCAATAAAGTATAGTCAGTATTCAATATTTATTTCTGTACTTTTTGTTGTTTTACTTTTACGTTATTCAATTTTTCAAATTTTGTCCTTCTACACCGTTTTTTATGTATTGCTTTGAGTAGGAATAGAGAGCAGAGAGAAACTGGATATTAAATGGAATAGTTAATAGATGTAAATGAAACTTTCTTCCCTCTGAAATAAAGGATCGACTGAAACAGAAGTGAGAGATTCTATTAAATTTATTTCAGCTAGGTGCAATTTATGTCACATCGGACGATTACATGCACATAAAACACTCGGTGACGGAAAAATTATTGTACGCGCATTTTTTCTCTTATTTATATATATCTCTTTTCTCAATTAGCGTGGCGCGATCCAAGTGCTTGTTCCAGCGAACACGCATGTGTTAAATAATTATATAAGTAGACAAAGTATGTAAGTCGCAACGTATTTTTACATTTGAGTAAAATCATCGCAGTATTAGCGGGGTAATGTGCAGATAAGCTTTATACGGTGAGGTTCAATTCTTCCGCCTGCTTGTGAAAAATCAGAACGTCCCTCATGTGGAAATTAGGTACGGTGAAATTGAAGGTGTGAACCGGTCTGTCGAGCGGATATCCCAATGGTCGATGGTCCATTACGTTTGAACCCCAAATGGGAGAATCCACCTTCGTGCCTTTCGTCTCATCAAAGTGTGACACGCTCACGAAGAGTTTGAACGGCATACCCTCCTTCTTGCCCTTAGGAAGTATTAAACGATCAGGGTAACCGTAAAGCTGGCCTGGATAATTGAAAGTCTCGCCACCCTCGATAGCTTTCACCATCTTCTTGTACAGAACCTCGCTTGGCATCTCGTCCGGAACAACGTAGATGGACTCGTAGCTATTACGCTCAATCTTATTGGTTCCAGATTTCACTGTAACAATCAAGCGATAATAGTTACGATCCTAATAATTAAGTTATTTGAAATAAAAGATTGAACATCATACGATTTGACTGAGAAAAGTTATAATCACAAGGCAAGGAAAGATTTCTTAGCAAAAGAGATATTTGAAAATGATACTAACGGTCAACGGTCCATTGATCCATCTCCATAAAGTTCATGTAATTCTCGCTTATATCCAGTTCGTGGCCGTGAACGTCGTATTTGGGTCCAAGGAAGACACGAACGACCGCCTTGACGTTCTTGTTGCTGTTGACGGTGATGTGATAGGTAAAAGGCTTATGGTTGAGACGATACTGACGTGCTTTGATCAACATAGATTGAGCTTCCTTATGACTGCGCACCGATACAGCATTGTTGACCAACGATTCAAAGTGATCGAAGAAAGTCAACAGTTTGTCAACGGTGACGGATTCGATCGTAACACCCGGAAAAACAAGTTCCTCATGCGTGTAGCTCGGCATGTGTTCCTTATACCTACGTCGGAGAATATACACCGGTTAATAATAAATAATTTCAGGCCATATGGATTATGCAAAGTCATAAAGTCGCACCTCATCCAGTAAGTGGCGATATTCTTATAAATTTCATAGAACGCGGGATCCCTCAGGCTGGTGGTTAAGAATTCGAGAGCGGTGGGAACTGTCGTGTGCTTGGTGACATGAACATGGGTCATGCCGAGGACTTTCTTATATAAATAATCCAAACGTCCGTAATATGTAGGATTGACAGAATCGGCATTGCCCTGGATTACGTTGCCAAGATAATTGAAACCGTCTACAGTGTTGTAAATGTCGAAGTGTTTGCCGTGAATATCAACGACGTAGCCTCTGTCAATGGCATCAGAGATGCGAGTGTGGACATCTTGTATGGCCTGTGTGGGACAGTTTTAGACACGTTAGAATTTAATTAATTTAATCGATTATCAGCAAGTAATTTATTGAACTATTTAATTTTTGTTGCTAACAACAAATTTGAGACAACTAAAACATCTAAAAAGTATATTGAAAATATACATATATCTTGTTAGAAATATTCTCTCCTATTAGACATTTCTATAAACTCTTGTGATATTTGTGTGTGTGTGTGTGTGTGTGTGTGTGTGTGTGTGTGTGTGTGTGTGTGTGTGTAACTTAGAATCTTGATAATCGATTAAGAAATGCTTTACCAACCTGGACATATCTGTGTGCATGAAGAGGAACCACGAAATCAGCGGGACGCTGCGGAAATGGCAATCCATTATGATGATGCATCATCGGGTAGTAACCGGGAACGACAGGTTTGTTCACATCGACGTACATGATCTCTCCCATATCGTTGGACAATCTTTCCAAATAGTAACGATTAAGCAATTGTTTGTGACTGAACATATACAATTCGCCGCGAATGTGTTGGGGCATATTATACTGAACGCTCTTCATCCAGAGTGGAAAGTCATGATTTAGTATAAAGTAGAACGCGTTTAAACCGATATCCTCAGTAAAGTAGCTTAATTTTTCTTGTTCTGCCACTTCATCCCCAACCATATGCCAACCGGTGTAATTGGAAGGAATGTAATAATAGTCTACACCACCAACCGTTTTCTTCATACCTGCCGAGCCAAATGGTGTCAATATTTTAATATTAACATCTAAATATCTAAATTTCTTTTCTGTATTGGTACCTAGTGCAAACTACTTCGACTTAATCTAGAAAAGAGAAATTTATATAACATCTATTTCTAGAAACTAATTCGCTATCCTTGCTGATTTTAAATCTGAAAGATAATTAATGTTTTATTTTTAACATATACTACTATATTATATATAAGCTATATTGCTCATAAACTATTTAAGACAGAAAGAAATAAGTATCGAACTATTTGTTGACACTTATTCTTTTATTTTTCTAATTGAAAAAATGTTAAATTTACATATTATAATTATTTTTTTAAATAATTTAATTTATAAAAATTAGGAGGAAAAATATTATATTAACACACAGAAAATGGATATATAAAAGAAGATTATTCGTTAGTAAGGCTATTTTTATGTTGATGATTCGCGGTTTTGCAGAATACTTGGTTTTTGATATACCAACCTGATTGCGAGTCGCCCATCGCGATACGATAGGCCTTATGCAAAACGTCCTCGTTGAAAAAGTAATATGGGATCACCTCGTAAATCGGAGGCAGACGAATATTTCTGGTATCCTGGCGATGTAATACTACGGTACTTAATACATATGCGTACATATGTTCGTTCATGTGGAAGCGTGCCCATACGGCAGTATTGTAGAAAGTGTCAAAATCCTTGGCGGAATATAGAACACGGAAGAAGCAAATCGCTTCTTTGTAATGCTGAGGATGAGATCCGTAAAACACTTCTCCCCGTGGGAGCATTCCGTGTTTCCATCGTTGCAGGAACTCAGTTACCGCCGCCTAAAACAGCAAATCAGTGTATGGATTAGTAAAAAAGTTTTATGTATGTATCAAACTGAATTACGGAACTAATTTGTTTGAAATTTTAAATGTTTCTCGTTTGATGTATGTGCTGTACGCGGGATGTACATATAACATTACATAATATCTTTCTTTTACAACTGTACAAACAGTTTTTATTTTATTTCCAAAATTTATGTTTTATTGCGAGATCGAGTGAAAAAGACAAGAAAATTAATAAGTACATACCTGATCTGTGAAAGAAGCGATATTATCTTCGAGGCTAAAGGATCGAGCTGTTTGATAAAGTTCCGGATGGTAGATGGTCGGCTGATCGATGTGCCAGAAGAGCTCGTAGATACTCTTCTGCTTAATCAGGTATGCCTTGTCGGCGGTGTGAGTAGGTGGCTGCGTGGCATGGGCCAGGCACGCCGTAGCCAAGAGCAAAGCAATCACTTTCATCCTCGTTGTTTCACAAAGGATCGGGGATCGGCCGGTGCGCTATTTGTCAATTGCTTTATATACATACTCTCTATCGCCGGGACGTTGGAGATACAAAAATTCGGGGTGCAAGATTATAGGGGACCTATGAGGTAACCAACGTACTGATAATGTGTAATCAATCTTTCCGTTGTTTGTGTAATAATTATCTTTATTACTAATCGTCTACCCTTTGACACGATGGAAATCCGGGATTCGTATTTGTTGACTGCACTCACCTCACGCTATTTATTTCAATCGAAAAAATCAATTTGCAAAATATAAATTCCGTTCATCCGAAATCCGTCGATCGAAATCTACGTTAAATTATTTTGACTCTTTGAGTATTTCTCACAGTATAAATAAAGTTTTATATGTATTATTCATTTAAACGAAATCAATTTTTCTGTAAGGGATTGTCATTATGATTTACAATCTAATCATTTTTAAATAATAACGAAAGGAATAATAATTATCTACAGGATTGTCTACATAAATTCTAATATATCATAATCATGAAAGTTTTTGGAAAATATTCAAGTTTCCAAAAAACAGCCTAAGCAAACGCGCAAGGAAGTAATACATATTACAAATGTAATTTATGTAATTAATTACACAGGGCGGGTGTCACAATATAACTATTTCCATCTAAATATTTTTGAATCTATAAGGTTCAGAGGAAAATTTATGTAACCAACTTGCACGGTACAAAGAGGGTTTCATAATTGTTATCGCTATGGCGATAATAATTTTTGTCCAGACGGAGACGCTTCGAAGAGATCAGGGTCATTTTGTTTTTTTAAATGCAATTATATGATTTATTTTACATAATATGATTTCTATAATTATTCTGCATATAAAGTATTAAAGTAAAGTTATCGTAAAAGCAATTCTTAATAATGAGATATTTAATTCATATATTTTAGCATATTATATTTTGGCATTTCATAAAATATAAAATATCTTGTAAACCATTGATTTTTTGGATAATTGTACTTTAATACTTTTATGTAAAGAAAACGCACAATTGCTTAAAAAAAAGCAATTTTATATTTTTTTTTTGCAAGGCAACTGTGTATTTCTTGACACCAATCAATTCATCTCATTATTCTGTGCCTAAAAGTATCAGACGCTATTATCAAGAAATCAATAGTTTTACGGGATAGTTCATATTTGATTGAGTCAAAATACGACATAATAAAGTAAAGAAATATCTCGTAATTAAATTTTGATTTTTCAATAACTTTATCTTAATATTTTGTATATGTAGAATAATTAGAGGAATCATGTTATATAAAGAAAATTATATACATATAATTCTATTAAAAAAACAATAAAATAAAGTTGATTTTAAAATCTTTGAAGCGCCTCCACCTGAACAAAAATTATTATCGTCATGTAATATCGCCCTTTCGTACCGTATAAGTTTGGTTACATAAACTTTCCTCTGAACTAATAGATTCGAAAATATGTATTTAAGTGGAAATAGTTATTGTAATATCCTGTTTATTATACTACACTTACTAAATATTATATAAATATTTTCCATTGCCATGCTTTTTACATCGACAGCATCTTTTCAATAAATAATTAAAATTTATATTGAAAAAATTTATAATATAAGAAAATTTGCAAAATCGTTTGTATTATCAATCAATAAATAACAGTTACTTGAATTGCACGCAAACTTTTTGTATAATACGATAACACAAATATACACACATATAACTATTTACTATATGCACGGAATAAACAGATAGAGAGCAAGAAAATATACGCATGTCTTTATGGAAAAATACTATTGGATGAACTAGATAATTAGATGATAACTTCGAATATACATGTGCGTAAAGATAATTCATGTTATTTTTTTGGCTTTGATAATTATATAACATAGCCATCGATAAAGTAATGTTTAATATTCGATATTAATTCATTTCAAATTAAAATGATAATTTTGTGAAACTGGAAAACAACATCCCTCTCAAAATTTTAATTATTTTGTAATACATTGCAGTATAACCAATTCTAAAAATTTATGATTTATTTTGGGAAAAATATTTTTTTACAAGAATAGTAAAGTATATTTAAGATATTAAAATAAATAATATCATTTTATAAATATTTTATATATGTAATTTAATGTAATTTATAGCAGGATACACAGAAATTATTCTTTATAAAATATTCGATTTTAATATAAAAATAAAATTAATTTACATTTATCATGAATTTATCAAGAACTTTTGAAGCACATTTTTTATAACATAAATTGCTTTTTGTGCATTATATACCTATGTACTTTATTATAATATAGTCATAAAATTTCAGTATTTGTTGAAATAAGACATTTATCGCGAATTTTGTAACAGTTCGATTATAAGAATTTTCTTAAAATTAAACATCAAAAGATAGATAGAAATAATTCGTAATTAATCGATACAAATTGAAAGAAAAATTGATTGGTCATGAGAGAATCAAGAGTATCGAATTGCGAGGAGAACGCAAAAGTTATGAATCGTAAAGCTGTAAGTTAATTAATTCCTTTGAATTGAAAAGAACATCTTTGAAATGGGTGTATTATATTAAATGGATAATTATTACGAAATAATACTATCGAAAAAATGTGTGAGGAAATAAAGCATCGATTCGGATAAGCCGAAAATAAATAATTAGCAGAACGCATAATTTTTCAGCATTCTTTATTGAAAAAAAAACTTGTTAATTTGTATCACTCATGTGATATAGAATTCCAAACGGTAATTATCGTGAAAGTTTTTTTCAAGGTTCGCACAAACTAGAATAGGTCGACAGTCTAAAAGTGCATCGACTTTTCGTTCTCTATCGTGTGATAGATGTATACATCCTTGAAGAACATATTTGGCGTAAAGAACTTCCATGGGTACATCGGTCTGTCAAGCGGGAAGCCAAATGATTTTCCATCAAACCAAAATTTGCCAAAGATCGGCAATTCCACGGTCGTGACCTTGGTCTCGTCGAATGGGCTCAGGTAGAAGAACATCTTGAATCGCATACCCTCGGGTTTACCCTTAGGCAGAGTCAAACGTTCAGGGAAAGCAAAGAGCTTCTCGTAGTAGGTGAACGGTTCGCTGCCTCCTACGGCCTTCTCCAATTTCTTGTAGAATACATCGCTGGATATCATGTCGGGCATGGTATAGACGGAGTCGGAGCTATGGCGTTCGATGGTGTTTGCGCCTTGTCTCACTGAAACAGGCAGAAAGAACCGCTGTGACTCGTGACTGAAGATGCCTCTCGTTTTATCGAGAAGGAGAATTAAAAGAAAATTGTTACTTGATTAAAATACGCTTACTTACGCGTTACGACAAATTTGTCCATCTCAATGAAATATTTGTAGTATTCGCGGAGATAAGATATGTCCTTCTCATTGTGAGCATCGCCGAAGGCAGGTCCGAGGAAGATCTTGAGCACGGCTTTGGTTTCTTTGTCGCTGTTGATGTTGAAGCGATAGGTGAATGGTTTGTAGTTGAGGCAATAACGGCGAGCCTTCACTCGTAGTTTCATTCCCTCCTTGAAGCTCTCCACGGAAAGGGCGTTGTTGATAAACGTGTCACAAGTGTCGAAGTAAGTCGTCAGCTTGTCGATGTTGACGGACTCAAACTTTACACCGGGATAAATCAGTTCGTTCTGAGTGTAATACGGCATGTATTTTTTGTACCTGCAAGAGACAGAGATATAAAATTGAATAGAAGAGCGTTTCAAGTGTTTACGTGATTTTAAGGGTGCGAATCGAAGAAAATGAAACAAGACAGCGAAGCATTGCACGTTCGAACCTGAAGAAGTACGTCATAATCCTCTTGTATAAACGATAAAATCCAGGATCTCTCATGCTAGTGCTGTAGCATTGGAGAGAGCTAGGGATGACATTGTTCTTGTTCTTGTAATCAAAGTTGAAACCGAGGATATCTCGAGCAAGAGCGTCGTACATTCCGTAGAAATGTCGGTTGCATGAATCCACGTTGCCCTCGATCAGATTTGCAAGGACGTTCAAACCTTCGGAAGTGTAAATGTTGATTTGCTTGCCGTTCTTGTCGTACACGTAGCCAAGATCGATAGCATTCATGATGCGCAATTCCAAGGCTTCGATCTCCTATTAAAAAATTTACATGAGATTTACAAACAGGTCAGGTATAGACGGATAGGAAGATGAATTGATAGAAAAGAACAAAACGAATAGCAAAAAAATAGTCGTACCTTCAGATATTTGTATTTATAGAACGGCACATTCATGTATCGAGAACGTTGAGGCATGACGACTCCGTTGTGGTACATCAGAGTCGAATAGTAACCGGGGTAGAAAGGCTTATTCCAATCAAAGTCCTCGATGTCACCCAAATCGTTGGAGATGCGTTCCAGGTAGTAGCGGCCCAACAGTTGCCTATGGTAGAAGTAGTAATAGTAGCCACGGAAATCCTTCGGAATGTCGAAATCCTTGAAATCGAACCAGAACGGCATGACTTGGCGGAAGTAGTAGTAGAAGCTGTTCAAGGCAAAGTCTTCTATGAAGTAATCCAATTTGTATTCGTCGTCGAAATAGGGCTTGACGAAGCTTCCGGAGTAATTGGCGTAAATCATATAGCTGTCGACATTGTCCACATTGGCAGTGGCGAGTCCTGTGACATAGTAAAAAAAAAAAAAAAAAAAAAAAAACAGGTCAACATTTTTTACTTAATCCACATGTATAGAATTTTGTCAGTTATATTGCGTTCGTTAAGAGATCGCGGCGATTTACCACGAGTCATCTTGATGTCGTGAGCCTGCTGGATGACATTGCTGTCGAAGTATAGATTAGGATAGATCTCGTAAGGAGCCGGTAGTCTCATGTACTTGCAGTCGGGACGATAAAAGACAGCGATGGTGAAGGCGGACGTAAAGACTCCGTCGTTGATGTAAAGACGCGCCCAAGCGGCGGTTTTGTAGAAGGTCTGGAAGTCCTTGGCGTAGTAGAAAAGCTTGAAGAGGAGCTTCATCTCCTCACGATGTTCCTCGTAATATGGCGAATATATGGCATTGCGGCTAAGCATACCGTGTTTGTACAGGTACAAGAACTCCTGGACAATCAGCTATGGAAAATGGAAAGAGAGACTCGTCAACATAAAACGATATGTGAAGATGTGTACAAAATTTGGATGTATATATAAAGATCCAAAAGAGCTATATAATTAAAAACCGAAAGATTTTTTTTAGCTTAGGCACCTTGTCCTTGTACATGTCAATGTTGCTCTCGATGTCATAATTGCGGCCAATCTCGTAGAATTCCGTATCGGTGAGAACGTTTTGCTTGACGAAAAACATCAGCTCGTAGATCTTCTTCTGCTTGTGAAGAAAGTCCATGTCAGCCGTCTTACCAGTGAGATGGTATCCATCCGACATGCATAGCGCCGTTAGCGCTAGCAATAGCAGCTCTTTCAACATGATCGCGTTCAGTTCAGCCTTCGATGCCTTAAATCCGATCAACAACTACCTCCGCAAGCCAGCAGAGGAGAACGATGTCTGACCGATGGGTCGTCCTCAGCTTTTATACCGGTAACTGTATGATTTCGTTCCTAATCGGTTGACCTTAAGTCATGACCTGCCTGTATTTTACACAGGCCGTTTTATTCTCGTTATCTTCGCATGTTGCACCTTCCGACCAAATACCCATCCAACCGGTATCTTTCTTCGTATCGGTAATCGTGCAGAGAAAGAATAGTAAAAATTGATTAAAAATCCACGTCGTCTCTTCCAATTTTATAAAAAGAACAAAATTTTTTATGTTAAAAAATCGTTAAAAAATCGTTATGCTTTACGTAACACACATCAATCATTCTATGCAGATTCTTTCCATCCATCACTCTGGTGAAAATTTTTCTTATAATTCTTTATATAATTTTCAGAATTTCTCCATTAATTTATTATAATTTATAACTTTTCTCAGATTTTTTATGAATTGGAACACTTTTCAGAAATGCTAAGAAAGTCTACATCTTTTCTAGAATTCTTTATACCTATATATGAATTCTAAAATATTTTTTATTTCGAAAAAAAATATATAAAATGTGAAAAAGTTTAAGATACTTTTCAGAAATCTTTATAAATTTAAAATATGAAAAATTCTTAAAAATATTGTGAAAATGTTTTTCAGACAATTATAAAGGTAATAACAAGATACAAACTTTTTTAATTAATAATTTTAAACATTATATATACGTATTTAGCGAAAAATATAATTTTCTACAATAAATTAACTGTCCAGCAAACGAAAATTAATTCAAATGAATTGAACATTGCAATTCATTTTAATTTATCCGAGTTGACGCTTTAGAGTTCGGAGATGAATTCATGTTCCTATTATTTTTGTATTCGAATAAATTGAAATACGAAATAAGCTATGTTGAACTTGGATGTATTTATATCCTGCATATTAAATATTATTTTTGGATTTTAATGGATTCGAAAAATCAGAAGTGCCAATTCGGAAATGTTGAAATAAATTCATTTATATCCATTTAAAATCATTTTAATTTGCTGAGTGATTGCCAATCTATCTTAAATATTTCAATGTGTATATCATGTCAAAGTTTTGTTTAAGCTGCAAAGGCTATTTTATAAAGTTAATGAAGAATAAAGATTTGTTCATATATTATGCTATTTATAGATATAAGATTTGTTATTAAATGTATATTATGCTAACGGAAACTAATTCTTGTAAGAATCCATTTAATTTCAATGTCGATGTAAATTTAAAGAAAAATTTTTCTCAGAGATGCATTTATGAAGATAAATAAAATTTGGAAATTTATTTTTCTTTATAAATGTCCAATATAGAATTCTACATTTATAATTATAATTTTGTAATGTCGCATTGTTAATTATACTGGATGGGTAAATTATATACGTAGATGTCAACTATAAAAATTCGTAACAAAAATTGCTTCGTTAACAAATTTCGTTAGTTGTTATCTTAATATTTTTTACTTTACTTCGAATGACTAATGCGATAACAATTAATTAACACGATACCTATATTCTCTGGGATAAAATTTCTACGCGTAAACATGATTATACATTAATAATAAAAAAAGTGAGCCGCTTTCTCGGCTTCGCAATTGCAACGCTTTTTTTATCAGTCGCGATATATAAGGTGTCTCAGGTTCATCTCATTCTTTTCTTGTTTATTACACATTCCTTTAAGAATCTATTTTAACAAAAATGCCAAGAGAACAATAATCTTTTAATTTTAAATATATCTATAGATTTTTACGAATCATATTTTTTTTCGATAAGTTATGAAATGCACAAAAATGATATAGTACGTATTATATCCATCTTATATAAAACACCTTTTCTCCAAGAAATTAAAGGTATATAAATAACATCTTTTCAAAAGCTATATTACATTTATTACTTAAGTATTCTCCACAGTTTGTTGCTAACCGTACACAATAAATATAATAAATTCTAAGCAGAAAATAATTTTAATACAATGTAAAGATATAAAATAAAGATAAGAGAGGAGAATACTTAAGTAGAAAGAGAATTCTTTATTAGTTCACTGTTATCTTTTATTTATAAAATAATTACAAATAGCACAAAATCAATAATAGCAATAATTATAAATAATTATTGTACAGATCACTAATTAATTGTAACAATTAATGATTAGTAACCTACTCGACTAAAACAATCGCTACTGTTAACAAATGTGAATTATCAATTTAGTAAGTTATAAACACGTCACACAAGACGGAGATATTTTGCATTTGAGATATCCAGCGTTTTGTAGGTGTGTCGTAGATACTTGAAACGACACGCGACCACGATTTATCACAAGGCCAGCCGGTCTTTTAAAGTTTATCGAATTTATTTAGCCTTCAAGAGATTTGATAATTTTAAATAACAATTTATATGTGATAACACATAAATTTCCACTCACAGCTTGAAAACGTAGACATTATATGTATATTTGTACTTTTCCATCATGTAAGTTAATCTGTTGTTAATGGTACAAAGAAGACGATTCTACATATAAGGAAACAAAAAACAAAATTTATTAGAATATAAAACTTGTTTATTTTCTAAAAGAGAAATATATTGCTTTCGTTTTCGAAAAAACAGAATAAAATATTAAAATTGATCGCTCTTATGGCACAGTATTTTCTAAAGTTATGCTAAGCTTAAATTGAGAAAACATTATATAGGACATATATAAAAATACTAATAATTAAGATATGAATCATTAATGGCTACTTACTGCATTTTTTATTTAATATTGTGTATGTGTATTCTTATCGTCAAAAAAAAATTTTTATTTTAAAAATCACGATATAAAAAATTTTCAAAAAAAATTTTTATTTTAAAAATCAACTGATATAAAAAATTAAAAAAAAATTTTTACTTCAAAAATCATGTTGTGTATGTGTATTCTTATCGTCAATGAACTTAAATAGCTTAATTAAATAATCATAGCAAACATTTATAAAATGGATTTCTTTAAAATGTTTTCAAAGTAAATGGCATTTTGTTCTCAGCATTAAATGATAAAACTTGTTAATTATTTCAATAGTTATATATATAATGAATTGAATTACAACATATCAGGCTATATTATCTTCGTATTTCATAGTTTTTTGTCATAAACTTGACGGAAACTTATATAATGTTACTTTTCTTGTAAGTATAAGGTATGTACTTACTCCCGAGAAAGTGCGCTGTACAACGGGTGGCCTACACACAGGCGCTCGCCGTACTAATGGCGCGTGCACACCGTGTGCAATTGTGCGGCGCGGCAGCATCGCCACAATTACATTTCAAAGTATGAAATAATATAAAATATTTTAGTGAACTCTTTAAATATCAACGAAATTTCACGAGATATCGCGTCACACGCATTTCGCATATTATGGGCGATGCGTATAAATCTTACTCGCGCAAAGAAAAAATATTTTTATTTTACATCACTAATTTTTATATTTAAATCTAACATTATTGTATATATGTATAGAACAAGTTAATGACGAATTAACAAGAAGAGATGTGAAAACACTCGTATTACTTATTTATTATCCGTATATAATTATGTTTGTATATTTATCTTGAAAAATATTGGCTATACAAGGATGGCTGTTATAAATAAATGATAAAAAGCTTAGCTTTCATGATTACTTTACTAAATTATGCTATATATTTGGTTTTTTTTCTTCCAAATCTTCACATAATAGTAAAAATAAATGTCTCAAGAAGCAAAGGGTATTATTTTTTACAGCACCACCTTCGTTACATCATTTCTTTCCGTCTTTCAGCAAGAATGACTTCGTGGTAATAGAATAACTTCATTGTAGTAATAATCAAAATTTTATATAGAAAATAAAAGTAATTATAGAACGTTCCACGTCAAATGTCTGGACAAGATTAATTAAGTCGAAAGATGTCCAAAGGCTTGAAATTTTTGTTTTCCTATGTAATTTAAAAAACATACTCTTGAAAAATTCAACAGCCGTTTTTCGAGTCACTCATAAACAATCCGTCAGTCAGATTTTCGGAATTCAAAATGACGGCAGTTGGTGTGCCATTAACAAAATTCGTTCAGATTTTCAGATTTTCATGGAAATCAAATTTCGGACCACCTGATCCATGAATTAAATGTTTTGAGTAAGTTTTTCAAGTACTCCAAGTCGTCATATTGAACCGACCATCTTGAACTTGTCGTAAGACCATGTTTTTTCTTCAACTACATATAAAAACGAAAATTTTAAGTCCCCGAAGGTCTTATTTCAACTTAACAAATTTTGCCCAAATACTTGCTCCACTTAGACATAGAACATCTTCTATTATATTTAATTAATATTTTTTATACTATAATTATCTCTTTTTTATGTAATCTATTTTAATAAAATTAATAGTTATAGACAAGTCATTCTATTACCAACCAACTTTACTGATTTCAGCTATGTATAGAATCATTATCGCCCACATAATCATCTTCATATTTGATGCTTCTGTTGTCCTCTTCATCTTGCTCATCTCGCACATCTTGATCAGACATCTCTTCCCAATTGTCATCGGATTCGCTGCTTAAGTCAACATCGTCTTTATCGGCACCTTCATCCGACGAATCTACGTACATTTTTGATAACGTGGCTTAATATGTCAAATTCGATAAAATTTTAAAAATATTGGTATGTCATATCAACCTGGATCTTGATAAACAAGCAAACTCTCTTCAGTTATATCCTTGTTGTGTTCCTCATTAGCCTGAGCTATTTGTCCTGTTATAAGAGAAACTCTGCCTTTTAGTCTTTGTACAGCCGTTAGAAGCGCTAATTTCGCGTCGATAAAACTTAGAATAGGGCTGAGTATCTCCGCGATATCTGGTCGCGACATCAAGTGCGCTGCATGAGTCATTATCAAAGTTTGCAACCACATTACTGCAATTTTACTCCTAAACAGAGATAAAATAATTAGTCTTTAAAAAATTACACGCAAATTTTAAATAGTTAAAAGAAAGCAAAATTTAAAAAATCTATAAATGAAACAATATATGTGTGTTAAAAATGTAATTACGTACGCATATGTTTTGCCTTGCAGCATAACAATTAATTCTTTAAGCAATGGCGTAATTGCTTGCACTGGCAATTTTGCGATAGTATTACGAATTACAGTCTCATTTTTTGTGAACAACACTGTCGTCAAAATGGTTTTATCTTTGCTATTTAATGCTTGCATCAGTAATTGCGCCATATTCGCTCCTTTCATTGGTATCCTGCCTGGTGTATTCGCGTCTGCATTTAAACTAAGATTTTCCAATCTATCTTTTAAGAGTAACTGAGAACCTGAAATAGTCCTATTCCTTTTTTGTGTTGGAACTCCTATTCCTGCAATATTATGACATTCTTATTTTATTTTTCTATCGTTTTTCCATCGTTGATTAACACATTGAAAATTCAACAACCAATTATTTTCGATATTTTCATTAATGGACTACAAGAAGAAAAAGAGAAGATACGTAATGATACGGAATTATTGTTACCTGGTGCAAGATATTCAACATCTTCTTCTATTGCGGTAGGTTTTATTTTAGAAATTGTCTCTTCTTTCCTTTCTTTTGATTTTTTTGTATCCAATCTTTCTGATCTGATTAAACATTGTACCTTGTCCGAAAAGTCGGGAATAACTTTTTCGAATGTCAAGTTCAAATAACTACCGTATGCCAGTAATAGTTTTTCATCTTCAGTTAAGTGACCTGCTAAAATTGGAATCTGTTGAACAGTTTCCTTCTGACTGACATCTGCCGCTACCGCAATGTTAAGAGATGGTTTCAATGGTTTGGTATGACCATTTGGCTGATACTTGAACAATTGTGCTTGACCCGATTGCGTAGTAACCAATACGACGACCTGCAATTCTTCCGCAACAAGTATCGAGACGGATGTAGCCTCGTCTTGCATGGCTAGCGTTGTTATCGATGCTTTATCATTTTTATTCTAAATAGACATAAAACGAGATTATTTGTAAAACATGTATAACTTTGAATATATAAAATAATCAAACGAATAAGTTGTATGCATAGCAAGATTATGTCATATAATACAAACAAATTGCAATTATCATATGAGATAGTAAGAATGAATAAGTATTGTATTAAGACGTTATCTTTTATTGCATCTCATCTTTAGAAATAAATTTTAATTTCTAATCGTTAATTAACTATTGATATTTGTCTACAAAAATCTTTATCACAGAATTGAACTTAAGACCTTCTAACGTAATTGTGCTAGATATTATGGACCACTTGAAATATTAAAAAAATGAGAGGAAACGCAACGTACTTTGTCTAATGCCCATACAGAAAGATGATTGTCCGCACTAGCACCACTGATTAGATAACTAGTTGAGTTGTCTACTTGTATAGTATGAAGAAAAGTGACATGATTAGCATGTCCAGTAAATGTGCGAATCAATTGCTTCGTCGCTAAATTCCACCACTTGATTATTTTTTCCGCAGACAGCAAAGATTTTCCATTTGACAGAATTGCTAAGGCAGTGACCTTTGCCTTGCCAGATTTCCATTTACATTTTATCCCATTCTCTTGAAGATTCCATTCCACTATGTGATAATCGTTAGCAGCTGTAATTAATCCGGCGCATGCCGACCAAGCGATCGCTGTAACGGTAGAAGAATGACCGTTCTCCAATGTAGCACTGACAGATGCAGCTGCTACGTCGTACAGAGTGATTTTCCCATTCATCGAACCCATTGCTACCATGGCTTTGTGATCGATTTCTTCCGAAATTGACTTTCTTCTACGTTTTTTTCTCGGTGAAGGCTTAAAGAACATAGAAAATGTTTCATCGTTATAAATGTATTTACAATTGGGGAATAATTAAAGGCATTTCTAATATATTCGATCTAGTCATTTTTATAAAGGGCGTATTTATCCAAGTATAAAAATCTCGTGATTTTTCGCCGGAAATATTTGTATAAAATACCAACCATGTAATTTGTCTCAATGCAAAAATGAAAAATACAATATGCGTTTAACATTTAATTCCTTCTGGAAAGTTACGTGTTGATAAATTTAAAGCAGATAGATAGTACACATGGACAGGAAAAATATTGGTCTGGACAAGGATTGGAAACTATCGAGGTTTTAACATATCGACTTATACCTACGCTAAACATGTAAATAAAGTGAAAAGAAGAAAGAGAAGGTAATTAAGGTAATTTCCACGAGGGTTGGAGAGAGCACATGGCGCATTTACCGATATGTTGCCCGCCGATTGCGGGCTCACGGAGATCCATTCTATGACGCTGCAGGGTGACGATAAATGCCGATTAGGAGTGTACTCGTGCTTCAACCGGCCGCTCGCGGTCTCCCAGATCTTCAACTTGCCGTCATTACCGCAAAACGCATAATATTGACCATTCTGAGAGAAAGCGGAACGTCCTGTGCTCGCCATCTTAATTCGATAACTGTATGCTAGAAATCGCTGTGAATCTTCTTATCCCGTGAAAAACGCGTAATGCGTACGTATCCTTTTTTAAACTTAACCTTACCACTCTCTCCACGCAGCAGCTATAGCGCCTATAGCGAGCAATAGCAAGCAGCAAGTTGCAGCACGCGGCACGCGCGGCGCGATCCGCGCGATTCGTTATAGCATAGAACCGCAGCGTAATGTAGTAACGTGATTCTCCCAATTTTCCGTTTTTCCAAGTCGGTCATTCGTCGGAAGCGTCGGAAGCATGGTGGCGTGCCATTGGATGAAGAAAATTTCTTCTGTAGATAAAAAAAAAGAAAGAAAAAAGATGCCGATACAGTTTAGTAATTGCTCAAATTTAAGCAATTAGTCAATAATATAACATTAATTTTATGATTTATTAATAGATCAATGTTTTTTAGACATGTATGTACATACATTGTAATTCATATGTATTATATCTTAAGCTAATAGTTATATAATTTAATTTAAAACTGCATTTTTATAGTTACCATTCGCGTTTGATTATCCAAAGAGATGGTAAAACAGTTGGAAAAAAAAGTATTTATAGCATTATAAGTATTCATACTTATTTATAAAGCATTTATATAATAAAAATTATAATCTTAATAATGTATTATTCAAATAAATCGCAAATTTATGTCAAAAGTCGATAACATCGGCACTCTGCAATTACCTCCGGGGCCATTTGCTGGCACGAAAATTTGTCCAGGGCTAATGGTCTTTAACGGTATCTCGTCGGTGTAGACATATATGATATACATATGTATATGTATAAGTCTTATCTTTGTCTCTAAAATAAATATTTCTTAAAATAAATATTAAAATATACAATTTTCACCTCTTCTACATGTATGCACATTCATGTATATAAATGCGATTTAATAGAGCTGATATCCACGCTTCGAGAGTATATAATATATAGATTCAAAAATTCGAAAGTCATTCCGAAGAACGCGTGCGTCACCGTCGATATCGCGATGCGTAACGCTCTCTGCGATAATTTTGATTGGTCAACGGAACGGAACACGGTTCAACATGGAGTACGTCGGTACGTGCTGAATCCTGTTTATTTTTCGTACTTTCTGTAAAAATTTTCAATGTTCGGTTACTCTTTATACCACCCGCTTTACCACCTTTCCTTTCAATCGCGCGAGAAATCCGATCGGCTGACGGGTGGACATTTCGTCCATTCATTTAATTGAAACCCCCTATTGCGGTGTGTGTTTGTGTATGTCAGAAGATAATTTTGTGACGTTGATGCTCGTCCTTATCGCAAGCTTCTAAGCGTTCTAAGCGTGCATTTACGGATTATCTTCGATTCCGATGCACCGACGTACGTTTCCGCTGTTTTTCACTTCCGAAATATACATGTATCTCCCGCAAAAGGGATGTAGCTCGAAACGTTAACCTTTCACCGGTTAACCGATCTCTCGATTTACACCCGTGTCCGGATATCGCACGACAAATATCGAAATAATTCGATTAACTTTAGTTTCCAAGATAGATTATCGTACGCGATCGTGCGTAATCAACAATGTTCTTACGGGGATAAATTTAGGGCTCTTGCCGATTGTCATGTTGACGTGATTTTTATCTTTCTAGATACTGTAAAGGGCGACAATGACAGCTGTTGCAACTCGTCCCCCTGTCCGGAACTCGCGTCGAGTCCAAAGTCTATTGAAAATTCAGCGACAGACACAAAAGAATCTACGATGGAATGCGAAAACAATGTCGACAACTTGCAGGATGCCGCCGCAACTACCTTGCAAGAATCATCCACAGTAGAGAATATAGACTTTACAGTGATTTACAACAAACAGAAGATTAGTGTAAATTTTCCTTTAGATGGCACAGTTGCCGAATTAAAGAAACATTTGCAAAAAATTATCTCAGTACCACAAGCGATGCAGAAAGTTATGTTCAAAGGATTAGCCAAAGACGATCAGACTCTTAGAAACTTGGGAGTCACGAAAGGTAATAATCAGTCGAGGTATACTTACTTTGAAAGTGCATGTCTTGTAATTGTATAAGCATATTCTATTTACTTTTTGTGATTAACAAAATTATTAACTTGCTTCATCAAGGTGCCAAAGTCATGATAGTTGGATCAAAGTTAGATGACGTATTGGCTGTGTCAATCCCAACGAAACAAGACCTCATTGATGAGGCTGTTTCTTCGGTGAGCAAAGAACCTCTTTCACAACAAAAAGTTCATAGAAAAGTTTTAGATAAAGGTATTCCGGAGGACGTGATGCCAGGAATACTAGATAGCAAGGTATAATCTGTACAAGTTCATGTTTTATACACACACGCACACACGTACACATACATACAGTGAGATGAAACCTATTCTGTTGTAACTAATTTTGCAATTAATTGTATAGGAACCTTTGCCTGAATTCCCATTAGCTGGAATGTTAAACAAGTCTGGTGGAAAAGTCAGACTAACATTTAAATTAGAACAAGATCAGCTTTGGATCGGCACGAAAGAAAGAACAGACAAAATACCTATGAATTCGATAAAAGGTGTCCACAGTGAACCTATTCACGATCATCCTGAATATCATATTATGGTATGGATATTGCTTAGCTCATCAGATATCGCTGTAAATTCTATATTCATCATTGAGTATTCTAACAATAATCTTTAATCTTAAATTTACATTAATATTTACAGGCAATACAATTAGGCACTACGGAAGCATCGAGATATTGGGTATATTGGGTCCCTGCGCAGTACATATCTGCTATTAAGGACGCCATTCTTGGCAAATGGTGTTACTTCTGATTGATAATCGCTGGAAATTTTGATTTCTGTAAATTTCTTAATCGGGTGTAAACTGATACAAACACTGCTGTTACATTGACATAAAAACTGTCAGCTAGTCACACACATTTCTAACAGTAAGTAATAATTTATTTTGAGTTGCACTATCGCGAAGAATACCCAATAAACGTAGTCTGTCCCGTTACAAAAACAATTTAAGTGACTAGTCTTGATTTATTGGGGAAAAAAGAATGTAATCACTATGCCAAATGTTTTATATTTTCATAGTCCAGATTTAAGTGTATACCCTGAATTTTTTACATTGCTGAAAGTAAGATAGACAGAGAACTGTGATTAGTGGAACTTCCATAATTAATAATGTGTTGTGATAATATTGTGTATTTTACGTATATGATTTTTAAAAATTCTTTTTCTTTTTATTTTCTTCAAATGTATCTACAAATTTATTGAAATCTACAAAACTGTTTTATTAAAAAAAAAAAATATATATATATATATATATATATATATATATATATAATATTCAGTTCGATTTGTTGCAATAAAAATGTCATTTTGAGCATTTTGATGTGGATATTATAGTCAAGAATTTTAATTTGATTTAATATATTATTGATGTACTACTTTATAAAACTTTATATTAACGGAGCAAGTTTTATAAAACTCTATGAAAATTATACGTCAATTAACCCTTTCGCTGCAAAGAGCATACGTTTATGCCTTTAACAAGTGAGCGATTATTTGACCGATTATAAGACTGTCTATATTTCTATTCCCTCCAGCTTTTGATACTAATAATAAAAAAGTTATATACCAATATCTATGATTAGGTAATCATGGGCAAATTAAAAAAAACATTTCGAAAAACTATATTAAAATGTTTATAACTTCATCTTTATCACTCATAAAAAATTCCTATTAGCGTTGCTTGCGCCAGAAATATTTGCTTTCTACACACGAGCGCTTTTTGTTACGAGCGCATCGTAGCGAAAGGGTTGAAGTAACATAATATTGCATTTACAAGGAAACTTTTGAAGTGATCAATTTCGATGCAATTTACGATTTGTAATTATTCATTTACACATTTTTTTTTACATAACTTTCAGTTTACCGAATTTAATAATCACATATATGTCTATACACATTTACACATTATTCAAAAACTGTACGAGATCTATTTGTACATGTTAAGTTTTATCAAAGTTTTATTTTTTGTTGTAACTTTCTGCAACAAAGAAGAAACACACACATCTTTTTTGCGTAATATTAATATGGACTACAGCACATTATATCGCTATTGAACAAAGTTACAGTTCTTGTAAACAAGAAATGGATTGGATAATTTTACATTTCAGTAACATTACACTCGATAGCAGAATAACAACGAATTTCGAGCTAAATAAAATAACAAAATCCGTTCAATTTTTTGTGATTGGCCTAATAGTAAAAATAATTTGTAAAAAAGGTCAAAACGAGTCCATTACTATATCACGGTCTGTAAGAATTATGCATAAAAGATTCATATACATTCTTTAGCGTTGTAACTGCTGTAAATTAGGTTTTATACCGTTTGAATCGTGTAATCGCAAGAATAAAATAAATCAAAATTTCTAGTAATTCCTACGATACAGTTAATAACTGTCGAGAAATCTACTTCAGAAGTCAGTTTGAATGAGACTTGTACATTAGTTGTGTGATTTGATAAAATAAATACTTCTGAGATTTTTGTTTTTTAATGCTTAATTATTTTAATCGTAGTTCTATCCAATCAAGTAGAAATGTTGCGAAGTAAATGACGAAGTAATTATCAAATCTGTGTAATATATATTCTATCATATATGGAAAAACTTTTCTAAGCGTACACGTCATAATGCAAGCTGTTCTTTTAACGGAAATAGAAGAACACATCTGTTGAACATACGATGCAGGAAACATCTTGTTAAAGTACTTGGCCGCGACTAAAACAGACTCACTCACTCTCTCTCTCTCTCTCTCTCTCTCTCTCTCTCTCTCTCTCTTTCTCTCTCCCATTCGTAAGGCAGATGTGAATGCCATTGGAAGGAGAATCCCCACCAACTGGGAGAGATGAAAGTTTCCGTCGTATAATCGATAGTAGCTCTCTGCTCTGCAGCTCTCACAAGTCTTACAGTACGCGTATGTAGCTCAAGGACAAGCGAGGTGTTGCGTGTACAAGAGTGTAAATATGAGCTGTATTATATTTATCATCATGTATATTATTTGTATTTTAAACCGGTGAGATTTGTCTTTGCACAAAGATTGCTGCACCAGGCTGAATCGTGAGAAATAACATAGCAAAATATTGTGTGGCAATAATCTTTTCTGGCAATGTAAACACAACAACCAAACCACGTTGAGATCTAAATAAAGCAAATGATTCATATCTGTACAAATATATATACGCATTTGCTGGGGCAATGATAACAAATGTAAGTATCGACGCGCAGTGTCGCAATACATCATAAGCGATTACTTATATTAATACGAAATACAAATGGCAGTGCTATTATAATAATTATCATCATAGTAATTGCTGTTAATATATTGTTAGAACCAATTGAAATTATAATGCAAAGCGATACCGTGTGATACAAGAGTGAAAGAGTGGAATTTTGGAAACATGAATTACACACTGCATTCTGCATATGTCAAAACGAAAAATAAATTTAACTTTTATCTACGTCAATAGAGTATAAACGCAAATAACTCGTAACTTTTCCATGAACGAAATGAAAAGCGGAAATGAACGGATGATAAATTAATCATTTAAGGATTTATCTACCATTATTCTTACTCTAGAATGGCAGCGACAGAGAATAATGAAGAATTTATTGAAAAAGCATTTCTTAAGTTAACTGAAAATTATATTCAACACGGGGCTGTGATAAACGATTTACAATCCATTACTATGACTGCTAATGCAGAAAGTGCCAAGAATCGTAGCTTTGCAACGCGTTCAAAAAAATTGCTGGTGATACTATTCGTGCCATTTTTTTATGGCATATTTAATAGATATTTTTACACTAATATAATGAAGAGTTTTCAAGGGACTCGATGCTTACTGCCGAATAATTATCTCGTATGGGAATTCACGAGACCGATAACGAATTGCGATTATTGTCGCGATGTCGAAGCGCCATTAATCTTGCCGAATTTGACCAAAGAGGAATTTCGCTTTTATTCATATTCGTCCCGACCTATGATAATAAAGAATGCAGCTTACAATTGGCCTGCGCGTAGAGAATTTACTCTCGAGTTCTTTCGGAATTTGTACGAGCGTATCGAAGGTGCCTACGAGTCGGTAGAGGAGGAATGCCAGTTTTTGCACTTTAAGAGTAACTTTGCGAATCTGCGCGAGGTATTTGCGATGAGCGAAGATCGAGCGTTACATCGAGAGGGCGAAGATCCCTGGTACGTCGGCTGGAAAAATTGCCATCCACAGATTCTAGATGCTATGAAGCGATTTTACAACGTACCTCACTTTTTGCCGGATGACGCGGAAATTCCGTACAGCAATTACATTTTCATAGGCTACGAGGAAGGTGCCGTTATGCACGTGAGTGTTTTATAGCCGGACGATCGCAATCATTTGCGTGAGTTGTACATTGCACAAGAGGATCATCAATACATCTTTCTGACTTTTTTTCTTTTCTAGTTGGATTACATATCGAGACTCATGTGGCAAGCTCAGGTAATAGGTAGCAAAACGTGGACCGTGGCTCCAACGCCGGAGTGCGATAGCGAATGTAAATCTTTTAAATTTTCCGTCAATGTCACGGATGTTGTACTGTTGGATACGCGGATTTGGTATCACAGTACTCACATTGAAAATGGAAATCTTAGTTTAACAGTCACCTCCGAGTACGGGTAGACTACTTTTAAAGCCTTTTTTTTTTACACATTCCAGAGCATAATCTATAATGTACAAAAATTGCTTGGATAGGATTCTAGGCAGTTATTTTTTTATCTTTTTGCAAATGTCGATTGGAGAAATTGGCTACAATATATGCCATTTCATATCGAGTGTGTCGTTATTCGATGTTTTTGTTTTAACATCTTTTGTTTAGCTCAATGAATAAAATTATAAAATATTGTTAAGTAGGAACATTTAACACATTTTCAATGAATAATTATAATATGAGCCCATATAAGAATATATTATCGCGAATATATTGTGATATAAAACTACCTTTTATTGAATATCATAAGTAGAGATTATATCCCATGTTCTAACCATTAGAGAAATATATTTCACAAAAGTGTATTTAAAAGTTGATCGATCAATCTTTGTTTTTATACTTGACCAATGCATTGCTCATGGTGTCATAATTGATATATTGTGTATTTTTGTAACTTTCAATAAAGACTTAAAGATACATATTCATTTATAGCAAATTCATGGTCATACAAATCGTTTACGTATTTACATGTGTGTCAAACATTTATTCCGTAATTATATAGACTCGTGTGAAACACAACAATACAATCGTTTTCAAGAAGTAACATGTACATAAGAAATTATTGTTAATACTCGCGTTAATACGTAGCAGTATTGTTGCAAATGCATGCAGTAATACCTGTATAACCTGTGCTTTAACATTGCAGTAACGCGCTTAGCTGTAACGAGAGAAATCTAGTGCACCTTCAACCATCATCTTGAACCTAATGTACAGATTCAAGAGTTGCTATGTAACAAACGACAGTTTGCTACGTTAAATGCGCGACAGCATACAAATTTGCAGTATTCGCCTAAAGTGGAATGCATACCGATTGCACTATAATTCGCTTGTGTAACCCGATATATTTTCACTGATATTTCTTTGTGTATGCTGGTGGACTCTCCTGAAATATATCATACGACAAAATTTATCATAAACATTTATAATTCTGCATATAATACATACATGTATTCAAAGTTACTATTTCAAATATACACTATTTCGTATAGTATATATGAAATTTGCTCTCTATCTCTATGTCAGGAGAACGAGAGATGTTCTATTCTCGATATAAATATAGGTACATTTGGTCGCCACGTTGTGTGGCATAGATAAGATAATGTATATTATCGCGATAAACATACAATATAAATGGAGTTATCGAATGAGATGGACTATCTTGTTTTATATCAAGTCAAAGAATGAAGAAAATATTTCTAGAAAAAGCATTTTTTTCAGACTAAAAAAATACAAATATATAAAATAAACATTTTATATATTTTGAAATATCGCAGATATAAACTTTTGGACATCACTATAAATATTTTACATGTAATTAAAATATACTTACATAATATTCTGGCGGTGGAACATAAGCGCATTGAGGTCTATTAGGATCATAATATGCGCTCTGCGCAGCTTCAGCAGCCTTTGCATCTGATAAAAAAAAAAAAAAACGATAATGTGGAATAATATTTTTAAACACAAGTTCAAAATAAGATATCACATTATTACCGCATCAAATTTTAACGACACAGTTTTAACTAAAGCGTTTTTGGAAAGCGCGATTTTCTTAACGAAAATGTTTATAACACATTTTTAAATTATAACAAAAATAATGCCTCATACATCAACTTTGGAGATGCAAATAAATAATAATATTATTAAAACTTATTTTAAGATTCATAAATATGCATAATAGATTTTATATAAAAATTGAAAAATTGCAATAAATGATTATTTTTTATAAAATTTATATGTTAAAACAAAAGTCAAATTGTCAGCAATTATATCGTTGAAATTTAATGGTAATAAATTACACTATATTTTTAACATTTTATTAGTATCAATATTAATATTAATGAAGTACATACAAACATAATTTCTATTTGATGTTTTGAATTTATTTTGTTCTGGCATAATTTTGTATTCAAATTTTAACCAGTATTTAATTAAATGTAAATCGTGTGATGAACGATTAAGATATTTGTATATCCACTCGTGTATATGTGAAAAATAATTATTTATTATTAAATATTTAAAATGCACAATATAAATGGATGATATAACGCGGATTAAGAACTGACTAATGCACACTTTATCGCAGTCTGCTCTATCTGCCCAAGCCGTTTACTGATCTACCGACAACTAGATAATAATTGAGTGAAGTGAAAGCCAATGCTATTTCAAATCAAGTAAGGACATCTTACGCAACCGTATTGCTTAATATTTCAAACTTTCAAGTTTAGCGGGTATCTGCGCGCGCATTAATCCTTTTAGCTATCTTTCTAGTTTAAGACGAAATTGAATTGATAGGTTTGAATAAAAACAGCAAAAATTATCTTTATTAATATTTAATTTTATATATCATCCTTATATATGCACGCGCGCGCGCGCGCGCGCGCGCGCGTATGCGTGTTTAATAGTATACGTTTAATAAATACGTATAACGTATGCTAATACCTTGTAGAATCAACGCATTATAATTCTTTGTTATATATTCAACGTGTTATATATTCGCGAAAAGCATATTTTTAGTAATTGTAAGCTATAGATATTTAGAAAAATACATATTGCACAAGCATATATATTCAAAGAATGTTTAGCACATTCTTTTGTAATTCTCTCGATGTCTGTCCATTTGTCGTAATTTATAATTTGATGATAGGTGTATACATATATATTATATATCCATACAATACTCATTAGTATTGATGTGGATATGGATAAGATCCAGGCTGCTGATTGTAAGGTCCAGGCGTATAGCCGCTTTGTGGATATGTCGAATACGGTGGTGGATTAGGCGAATAACCGCTGTAAGGCGGTTGTCCATAACCGCCGGGATACGCACCTGCATGGGACTGGCTGTTGTAATTCGGATTGGCCCATCCAGGAGTTCCTGGTTGTCCTGCTGCAGCTCCAGCGCCTTGATGTGGCGGACCACTTGCATATCCGTATCCTGATTGTATGCCAGGATACGGTGGCGGACTGTCTGTCATAAAGACTGTATTTCCTAGAAAAGAGAGAAAAGCGATTTAATATGAATTTTGTACATAATCAGCCTTTAAAAATGCTTAAAAAGTGTATTCTAAAGTGATGACAGGAATGGATCCAATTACATGGCTAATGCACAAGATTGACTACTGTTGCAAATTTTTACAATTTTAACTTCTGACATCACAACATGGCAAAGCTTACGCGCTTCTACAATGTTTTTACACCAATTATAAATGAAGATTATTAAGTCTCGTTATATAAGTTTATCACATTTTCTTAATATTATATTACTATTTAAAAAATTAAGTGTTAAAGATATATTCTAAGATTACTTAACTATTTTATATACACACGCACGCGCACGCACAATACATACAAAAGTATACATACGTACATATATGTATGTGTGTGTGTGTATATATATAT